CCATGTGCTGCTGATATCAGATTATTTTATTTAAAGTCTGAATGTCACCATTGTATAAGATATTTACTGGATTTATCCAATTATAACAGGAGACGGAAAGACAACACTGCAATTAGTACAAAGAGCAGTGACAGTTTTTTGTTCAGCAAATCAAAAAAGTTAAATTTGTGAAAATGCTGATATATAAATTAAAATAAATGATGAAAAAATAAATGAATAGTTTTTTTGTTTTTTTAACTTTTAAATATGCATATTTTGCTCAGTAAAATACCGAAATCCAACACAAATTTAAGCAAAAATCAAAGTTTCCTTTGTTTTCATAAGCACAGATTGTGCTTCGGGTGTAAAGCTTTCCTGGTCTATAAGATATGAAAGATATGTTAAATCCAACTTAGTTTTCAAAGAGTTCAAACCGCCTAGATTCAAATCCTCTTTTCCTATCTTATAAGGGCGTTTATCGAGTGACTACTCCACAGCTTTGCTTGTATTTACTATCTTTAGCAGCATAGATTTCCCTCCTTCCTGCAGCCTTTTCTGTAGTCATTTTTTGGCTTTATGCTTCCCCTCCCCTCCTAAGGTCTACTGAGATTTACAGCTGACAAAATGGAATCTGCCGACCCCCCCCCCCCTAGGCCGAAGTAACTGACCAATCCCTTAGTTCGCCTTATCGTGTTGTTAAAGTGAGGCTAACCGAGGATAATTTATCCAAGCAAATGCGATAAACGAAATGGGGGTACAATGTATGTCTACGAGTACAGAAAAATGAATTTGTTCTGTTTTTGTACTACAAAATTTGCGAAACGAGATCGACGAAAGACCGACGTGACTCTTATTTCCTCGGCGTCGACTCCCGGTAAATGTAACAGTCCGGGCACAGTTTGTATAAATAAATGAAAGTATCCGTGTTCCCAGGTTTGTATCTGTTTATTTATACAGTGAGATTAAAATGACTGTTGGTTTTCCTTCTAGGATGGCTAACACCCACTAGCTTTCCGGTCATGTTCGTTCGCCCGCTACGCTACGTTTGGCTTTATAGTATTCGTCAAATCCCCGCCCTCCCGTGGAATGTAAAATAACTATTACACAGAAAGAACAGTTGCCAATAATATCTACCTTGATTGTTTGAAAAAACTAGTGGGATGGGGTAACGATGCAACTACGTACATGTGCCCGGGTACGCATCCCTACGCACAGTCGATCCAGCTGGACCACGGCGGCGATCT